TATTAAACCAAAATCTCCAGCATGGGGAAGTGGGATGAGCTCGACTTTTTTGGCAATGTTGAGAGGTTTTATTTTGGCTCTTTGTATTATTAAGCCTCTTCAGAGCCTTCATATGATATCAGTCTGTTAATGATAGTATTACCAATAGCAGTACAATTTGCACAATGCCTGTTTTGTTTAGTTTTCTTCTTGGAAAAAGTTATTAAAAACAAGTTTTTGTCTAAATTAAGGTGAATTCATGGTTCCTTTTTCCACATAATGTAACTTGGTAGGGTTTATGATAAAAAAAAAATAATAATAATAATTTTGTAATCGTATCGGTGATCGGCCCTCATGGGTTATCTGTATCGGCAGGAAAAAACCTGATCGGCACATGTCTAGTATCAGGATTTAACACCAGAAACACAAACATTTCCCACACAAAGAACATAATATTCAGTCTGTCACCGTATTTGGTAACACTTTATTTGAAAGGGGGTGAATAAGACTGACATGACACTGTCATGAACATGACGTAACACATGTCATGAACATGAAGAAGCCTTCATGAATATTTATGACTGTTGTCATAAAGCATCATTCGGTAAATTATGACACTTTTAATACAAAGTTGACATTATTCAAAATGTCTTTGTTATGACAACTTGACATTAACCAAGAAATCATTACTGATATAAATTTGTTATAAAAGTATTACTGATTGCACTTTAAAAATTAGGTAACTTTGTTATTAAAGGTAAAGTTTAAACAGTAATGATTTCCTGGTTAATGTCAAGTTGTCATAACAGACATTTTGAATCATGTCAACTTTGTATTAAAAGTGTCATAATTTACCGAATGACGCTTTATGACAACAGTCATAAATATTCATGAAGGCTCATTCATGTTAGTGACAGGTGTTATGTCATGTTTATGACAGTGTCATGTCAGTCTTATGCACACCCATTCAAATAAAGTGTTACCCAGTATTTTTTCTGGCTTGATGTTTTTTTTTTAGATTACTACAAGTGAACACAGGGTTGATTAGCTAACTTGAAAAACTGCTCGACTGATGATCTGTCAGAGAGTTGGTCTGAGGGTCTGAATTCCCTCATTCAGAAGCAAGCAGTTTATTTGATCCAGGTGTGTCTAAAAGTTGCAGGATGAACTAAAAGTCCCTTGAGGACTGGAGTAGGTGACCCCTGGAGTGGAGTGTAGAGGTTCCTATTTGAGGGAGAATAACACGAGAGCTCTAATTCATAATTTATTTTTTCAACCTGCAGGACTCTCAAGTGTGAAGTATCTTGCTCTGTTTGACTGGTAAATATTTATATGGATTAAATGTTTTGTAGAACCTTCATATTATGTTCTGAAGTTTGATCCAATTGAGAATAAAACATGGAGCACTTCAGTCTGAGATTAGCAACCTTTTTAAACCCATTCAGTTGGAAAAACATACTTAACGGTTAGCACACAGTGTTCAGTTCAGAGTTCTTCCTTAATCCCTCCTCCTCTGGTTTACAAGCGTCATGATGGGTGGAACCAGAGACACTCCCTTTGGTAATTTGATATTTACATGTGAGCTCAAACCAGTTTCTGTTCTACAGAAGAGAAACTCACACAGTCGTGACCGAGAGCTGAAATGGCGCAAAGAGTTCAACTTTTTCACAGCTCTGCTGGACCTGAAGATGTGGCTTGTGATGTTTGTATGGACAGGAAGAGGAAAGCTGTCAAGTCTTGCTTAAACTGCTTGGCTTCATACTGCAGGGATCACCTACAGCCTCACTATAATGCTCCCCCATTACAAAAACACAAGCTGGCGAATCCCTCCACAAAGCTCATGGAGAATTTCTGCCCCCATCATGATGAGGTGATGAAGATCTTCTGTCGTACTGATCAGCAGTGTATCTGTTTTCTTTGCACTATGGATGAACATAAAGGCCATGAAACAGTCCCAGCTGCAGCAGAAAGAGCTGAGAAGCAGAAGGAGCTCCAGGAGAGTCGCCAACAAATCCATCAGAGAATCCAGGACCAAGAGAAAGATGTGAAGCTTCTTCAACAGGAGGTGGAGGCCATCAATGTCTCTGCTGATAAAGCAGTGGAGGACAGTGAGAAGATCTTCACTGAGCTGATCCGTCTTCTCCAGAAAAGAAGCTCTGAGGTGAAGCAGCAGATCAGATCCCAGCAGGAAACTGAAGTGAGTCGAGTCAAAGATGTTCAGGAGAAGCTGGAGCAGGAGATCACTGAGCTGAAGAGGAAAGACGCTGAGCTGGAGCAGCTCTCACACACAGAGGATCACACCCAGTTTCTCCTCAACTACCCCTCACTGCCAGCACTCAGGGAGTCGACACACTCATCCAGCATCAACATCCGTCCTCTGAGACACTTTGAGGACGTGACAGCAGCTGTGTCAGAGCTCAGAGACAAACTACAGGACGTCCTGAGAGACTCATGGAGAAACATCAAAATGGAAATCACTGAGGTGGATGCTGTAAAGTCAGAACCAGAACCAAATAGCAGAGCTGAATTCATAATATATTCAGGAAAATTCACTCTGGATCCAAACACAGCACACACTATGCTATTTTTATCTGAGGGGAACCGAAAAGCAACAGTAATGAAACAAAAACAGTTTTATCCTGATCATCCAGACAGATTCACTGATTATCGTCAGGTTCTGAGTAGAGAGAGTCTGACTGAACGTTGTTACTGGGAGGTGGAGATGAGAGGAGAAGGAGTTTATATAGCAGTTTCATACAAGAACATCAGCAGAGCAGGAAGATCAATGGATGCTATACTAGGATTCAATGACAAATCATGGTCATTATACTTTGACAAAGGCTGTTACAAATTCTGGCATGATAGAGTTGAAACTCCAGTATCAGGTCCAGTTTCCTCCAGAATAGGAGTGTACCTGGACCACAGAGCAGGTATTCTGTCTTTCTACAGCGTCTCTGAAACCATGACTCTCCTCCACAGAGTCCAGACAACATTCACTCAGCCTCTACATGCTGGGATTGGTCTTTCTGAAGGATCCTCTGCTGAGTTTGTTAATCCTAAATATTCATCAGTGATCTGAGGCCCAGGTGGTTAAAATATGTATTTTTGTTTCAATTTCTTTAGTCTCCATCATTGTTGGTGAGAGCTCATTGTTATCCAATGTTATTTCTTCACTGCTCAGAGATCAACTGTCTTTATGGAGCTACTTTGTCAGCTTGTTTGTTGTCTTGTGGTTAGGGATTACCCTAACCACAAGACAACAATAGGCTACCCTAAGTCTATCTTGTGGTTAAAATGCAAATACAGATCAGCAGATAGAAATTGCAATTATCATCATATCATCATCAATCAAGATATCAGTCATTATTTTATTAGACAAAGATCAGACCCAGGATCAAGCTGTTTATGGAGATTAATCAAATGAGCAGAAAGGTGAACAACAGTTTTCATCAAAGTTTAATGTTCTGTTTCAATTAAATATATGGATTAAAATTATTAAAATGTTACCATTTGGAACATTTTTTTTGTGCAGTCAAGTGATTAAATCCTAAAAATGTTTTGCTACCCAATAATATGTGGACAAAAATGTTTTATTAGTATGAAACTTTTAGAAACTCTATGGACGTCCATAATATCAGTTGCAGATTTATTGTAGTGTTATTTTGGTAACACTATTTGAATGGGGGGGGGGATAAGACTGACATGACACTTTCATAAACATGACATAACACCTGTCATGAACATGAATAAGCCTTCATGAATATTTATGACTGTTGTCATAAAGCGTCATTCGGTAAATTATGACACTTTTAGTTGACATTATTCAAAATGTCTTTGTTATGACAACTTGACATTAACCAGGAAATCATTACTGTTTAAACTTTACCTTTAATAACATAAAGTTACCTGATTTTTAAAGTGCAATCAGTAAAACTTTTATAACAAATTTATATCAGTAATGATTTCCTGGTTAATGTCAAGTTGTCATAATAAAGACATTTTGAATAATGTCAACTTTGTATTAAAAGTGTCATAATTTACCGAATGACGCTTTATGACAACAGTCATAAATATTCATGAAGGCTTATTCATGTTCATGACAGGTGTTATGTCATGTTTATGACAGTGTCATGTCAGTCTTATTCAACCCCCTTCAAATAAAGTGTTACCGTTCTTTTTTTGTAAATATTTATGATTTTTAAAAATATATCAATACACTTTAATTTCTTTTTTACTTATGTTTTTAGGTTTAAAATTGCTGAGAATTTATATTTGGCCCTAGAGGAACAATCAAGAGACCACATCCAGTTTTAGTTATTACAGCTCAAAACTAGAGATCAGGCCTGAAATCTGGACTCTGACGTGAACTTTCAGAGACACCTAGAGACAATTACAAACTGGCCTTCTATCTCTTGAGGAACATTTCCAATGTTTTTTACAAATCTGTCAAAACTCTCACTATATTGTGACAGTCTAGGATGACATAGATATGTGGGGAAAAAAATCGAGTTGTTCTGCTTTTTCTCAGTGCTAACTGAAGAAATGTCAGTCAGAAACATCCTACAAGAGTCAGGAGGAGAGTTTAAGCATTGTCAGTCATGCTCATGTATGTGCTGCTCATGTGCCAATGTCCCAACAAGATCTAGAGAGACTCATCCATGCGTTTATCTTTGGTCGTATTGATTACTGCAACAGCGACTTCACAGGTTTACCTAAAAAATTAATCCTTCAGCTGCAGCTGATCCAGAACGCTGCTGCTGGTATTCTGACTAAAACCAGGAAGGTAGAGCACATCACCCCAATTCTAAAGTCCCTACACTGTAGATCATGCTTTTAAATCCTGTCATGATTGGTGGTGGTGAGTGGTGAGAGAGACATAGGCTGGCCCAGGATGTCATAAGGAAGTAGGTTTAATGATGAATAATCCACAAATGAACAGAATCCAACACAGGTTGCACAGGGAGCAACGGGGAAGACAGAGCGTGCAGCAAAACAGACAGCCGTAACAGAGATGCACAGACTATACGATGCAAACGACGAGGACCCGACAAGGAACACAGACAACAGGTGGAACTAAATACACAGGGAAGGTAATCAGGGAACTGGACATAGCTGGGATCAATCAACAGGGAAGACAGAGAGTCACAGGGGAACAGAACTAAGTAAACACAGAAAAACCTCAAAGATAACTAGACCGAAAACACAGATTGTCACAAATCCTTTCTTTTCACATGTAAATCATTCACATATGGTCAACATAAAGTAGAACTTAATCCAATCAAACTCAATCTCCTTTTTTGAGGCGCTTTAGAGTAACTCATTTTTCTGTGTTTCTTAAATGTGAATGAGACATTTCACACCTCTAGGTCACAGAGCGTTTCACTCTGCCCCATTCGGACATTTTTGTAGTTTGATAGCAGTGATATGATTATCTACTAGAGAAACTTTTTGTTACAAAGTCTATTCAACAAAGGAAGATTTCTCCATCTGGCCTAACATGATGAGCCAGAGCCTGACCCACAGCAGGAGAATAAACCACACATTCAAATGAACGCGTCACAGTGGTATTGCAATGTAAGGAATTTGTGTTAACACATGCTAAAACTGAACATTTTGACTCCTCTACTTGCATCTTTGGCATAACTGAAAATATACTACAAAATTGCTGTGAGGAAAAAAAAAGTCAGATTCACAAAACTGATTAGCCGGGAGTCATGACCTTGTTTAGCAGTTACACAGTAAACGATGTGATGTCATAGACAAGAAAACATAAGCAATAGAAAAAATTTACAGACTGAAAAGTATAAATTAAAAAAATATTAAGATATCTACACAGCACTGGAAAAAAATACATTTTAATTTATTTGCACTCCTAGGCATTCAAAAGTACACAGAAAATGTATCAAAGGGTTAAAATAGTGGATTTTGGATAATATGGCCCCTTTAATATTTCTGTTAGTTTATAAATAACTGAATAGTTCAGCACCAAAATAACTTAGAATTCTTCTCTTGTATTAATTTCCAGATCTTTCAGGTCTCACTCACACTCGTTAGTGTGAGTGAGAGATTTAAGTTTATGAAAAAAGGATGATGGGTAATGATGCTAACCTACTGTCGATTCCGCTCCCTGGGAGATGTGTTAATGACAAGTTTCTGTCAATCAACCAGAGAGAAAAACATATTCAAGTTGGTTTCAATACTCTCCAGTTTCAGAAAACACTGGTGGTGAAGCAGCAGCAGAGAGGTTTATCAGATTATAACCAACAGTTTCTGCTCTCTAGTTGCCTCAAGCACTTTCAACATTCTGTCTAAACTTGTGCTGCTTATGTAGCAAGGGAAAAGTTTGAATTTCAGTTTATGCATCGAGTAGTATTAATTTAGTTGTAAACATTTTTAAACAAAAAAGTAATGGGAAGGAAAAAGTTAGTATTTATCTCTGTTTAGGTGATCTAAAGAACTCATTTAGTCCCTTTAGAAGTGCAGACTTTTCCCAAAGTGTCATTGAGATTTCTGCTCTGATGGATAGGAAGTTTGAGGAGTTTGCCACCACTTTAAACAACATATCTGCTACAGCAGAAGCCAACACAGAGTGCTTCCCAGAAGCAGAGCACTGTCACTGAGTGGAGGAGGATGACATGTCGGCTGTGGGACCCAGGCTGGTCGAGCGCCAGTGAAAACTATGCATTTTAACAGAGAACTATACTAATTTGGAGGGACAGAGCCACAGGGATGATATCTTAATTTACAACCTCAAAGAAAACACAAAGACCAATAACCAGTCTCATTTTTGAAACATTCCCAGCTCTTCTTAACTTGAGTCCAACCAGGGCATCATTAAGATCTACTGAGCTCATCAGAGAACAGGGTGGAGTAACGAGGCAGAAACAAATCTGTACTTTACAATCCTCCTGGAATCTGTTCTGATTTATTTTACATTTCCAAACAACACTATATCTTGTCTTTCTTCAAAATAATCATTGTGTCAGTGTTATTTTCTTTGTAATTCTAGACAATATACTTATTTATATAATAAACAGTTTCTTTTAATCCTTCCATATAAAGGCACAGCTTATTCTCCACTTCTACACACTTCATTCTCATAGTAACTCCCATTCGCTACCCTGTATGTTGCTGTATAAGCAATATACAATATATTTGTATTTTTTTCTGTGCATAAACATGCTCACAAGAAAGACATATGGCTAAACATATCCGACTCAGGTAACATATTTGGAATGTATAAACAACATACTGTACATATTACTTTCCTACAATATTCAGAGCTGTTTTATTTCATAACTGTAACTGACATGAATTAAACAATGTGTACATAAAACCACAGCTAGGACCGCAGTCGCTCTTTTTCTTCCCAGCGCCCATTAGTTCAATTGCGATGACAACGGTAAATAAAACACTAAAAGACTTGAGAAAAACTACTTTAACAAGACTAAAGTTATTCCGGAGGTTATGTTGTGAGAGTAAGGCTATTGTAGACCCTACTAATCTGTAAACAGGATAGAACAGGTCGGAGTAACGAGGCAGAAACAAAGCCATCCATCCATCCATCCATCCATTTCCTTTACACCCTTGTCCCTAGTGGGGTCAGGAGGGGTGATGGTGCCTATCTCCAGCTAACGTTTCAGGCTGAATCTGTTCAGGCCAGTCCCTGAACAGGGCAACACAGAGATTGACAAACAACCATGCACACACTCACCTAGGGAGAATTTAGAGAGACCAATTAACCTGACAGTCATGTTTTTGGATTGTGGGAGGAAGACGGAGTACTCAGAGAGAACCCACCATGCACAGGGAGAACATGCAAACACCATGCAGAAAGACCGGGGCGGGGAATCGAACCCAGAACCTTCTTGCTGCAAGGCAACAGCTCTACCAACTGTGCAGCTCGCAGAAACAAATACATACTTCACAAATCCTCCTGGAATCTGTTCTGAAGCCGATTGTCAGTTATACAGACTCTGGAGTGATTATGACGCTGCCTCCTACTGGTAGCTTTCTGCTACTGCAGTAAAATTAATTACAATAGATGCCAAATCTTGAAATTAGAAATATACATAAAAAACATCAATTAATTCAATATCAAAATAGAAAAAGAGAATAATAATAATCATATAACAGAAACCATTACTTTTTTGTGTATGCCACATACATTACTCCAGAGATGCATCCAGGATTCTACAGGCGCTTAAAAGCAGGCTCTGCTCACATATCGTTCAAATCCATTTACTGGAAACTGTAATTGTCGTGATCATCATTTATCAGGACATCATTTTATTGGACAAACATCAGATTCTGAATCAAACTGTAGACATTTTTTATTTCATATAAATTATGTGATTCTCTTATGTTTGTGACATTTTGTAAATAGAAATAATTTGGTAATTCTGATATAAACTAATAAACATTTAGTGTACTTTAACTTCAGGCAGTTAGGGGGAAAAATTCAGTGAAGATATGGTTTCAATTGTTTGTGGTTTATGCTAAGAACCTGCTCTTCTGCCTGTGATGGTTAAATAAAGCTCTTCTATTAAAAAAGCCCCTCGACACACTTCTTTGGTGCCATCTGGTGGTCAAAAGGATGAAGAGCAGTTTGGAAATATTACACAGGAACTGTTTCTACATGACTACAGTCATGGCCAAAAGTTTTGAGAATGATTCAAATGTTAATATTTACAAAGTCTACTGCTTCAGTTTTTATAATGGCAATTTGCATATACTCCAGAATGTTATAAAGAGTGATCAGCTTAACAGCAATTAATTGCAAAGTCAATATTTGCCTAGAAAATGAACTTTATCCCCCAAAACACATTTCAACTTCATTGCAGCCCTGCCTTAAAAGGACCAGATAACATTGTTTCAGTGATTGCTCCATTAACACAGGTGTGGATGTTGATGAGGACCGGGCTGGAGATCAATCTGTCATGATTAAGTAAGAATGACACCACTTTAAAAAGAGGCTGGTGCTTGGCATCATTGTTTCCCTTCTATGAACCATAGTTATCTCTAAAGAAACACGTGCAGTCATCATTGCACTGCACAAAAATGGCCTAACAGGGAAGAGTATCGCAGCTAGAAAGATTGCACCTCAGTCAACCATCTATTGCATCATCAAGAACTTCAAGGAGAGAGGTTCCATTGTTGCCATAAAGGCTCCAGGGTGCCCAATAAAGACCAGCAAGCGCCAGGACCGTCTCTTAAAAGTGTTTCAGCTGCGGGATCGGGCTACCAGCAGTGCAGAGTTTGCTCAGGAATGGCAGCAGGCAGGTGTGAGTGCATCTGCATGCACTGTGAGGCAAAGACTCATGGAGCAAGGCCTGTTCTCTAGGAGGGCAGCAAAGAAGCCACTTCTCTCCAGGAAAAACATCAGGGACAGACTGATATTCTGCAAAAGGTACAGGGAGTGGACTGCTGAGGACTGGGGTAAAGTCATTTTCTCTGATGAATCCCCTTTCCGATTGTTTGGCTACATCTGGAAAACAGCTTGTTCGGAGAAGACGAGGTGAGCGCTGCCACCAGTCTTGTCTCATGCCAACTGTAAACCTGAAACCATTCATGTGTGGGGTTGCTTCTCGGCCAAGGGAGTCGGCTCTCTCAGTCTGGCCTAAAAACACAGCCATGAATAAAGAATGGTACCAGAATGTCCACCGAGAGCAACTTCTCCCAACTGTCCAAGAGCAGTTTGGTGATGAAGAATGCCTTTTCCAGCATGATGGAGCACCTTGCCATAAAAGCAAAGGTAAAAAAAAAAGCAAACTAACTGGCTCAGGGAACAAAACATAGAGATTTTGGGTCCATGGCCTGGAAACTCCCCAGATCTTAATCCCATTGAAAACTTGTGGTCAATCATCAAGAGACGGGTGGACAAACAAAAACCTAGGAATTCTGACAAAATGCAAGCATTGATTGTGCAAGAATGGACTGCTATCAGTCAGGATTTGGTCCAGAAGTTGATTGAGAGCATGCCAGGGAGAACTGCAGAGGTCCTGAAGAAGAGGGGTCAACACTGCAAATATTGACTTGCTGCATTAACTCATTCTGTCAATAAAAGCTTTTGTTACTCATAATATGATTGCAATTGTATTTCTGTATGTGATGAAAACATCTGACATACACACATGAAAACCAGAGGGCAGCAGATCACGTGAAAATATATTTGTCATTCTCAAAACTTTTGGCCATGACTGTAGACTTTAACTCCATTAGTTAATAAATTAATCTTTATTCACCTTAGCAACGATTAGGTTTTTGTATTAAGTGTTGGGGACTTAAATTGGAATTACAGAATTTTATATCAAAAGTTGATTTTATAAAGTTTCAACATGTTTTGTATCTTTAATTAATGCATATAACAGCTCAAAGATCCAGATTAAGAAGGGTAAATCACATGGTATTCCCAAACTTTGTAAAACATAATCTTTCATCATGAAAAAAAAAATAAAGACCAAAGAAAACACATTTGAATTGCTTCATTTTATATTTTAATATTTCTCATTTTTGTTATTTGTGGGGAAATAACTTTTTGTTATGTTCTAACTGAAGCAACCTTTCCTCTACAGTTTAAAACATTTTATGACCAGTTTTCATTTTCAGGTACCAAATAAGTTGATTCTGGTGTTTAAATTGCACTGAAACCAGATCAATGAATTATATTCATACATAGTTTTTCTTGTGACGTTAACGTGGTTCAGGTTCAGAACACACACACACACACCACACACACACTTTACAACTTCTTATTATATGGCTGTATTTAATCATTTCAGAAACCAAAATCTTTGAGCTACTTGACTTAAATATTCTAACTTCAATTTGGCCACATGGTGGCAGCAAAACTCTGAAAAAAGTATCAAAATCAATCAACCAACAAATCTGTCAGAAAGAAAACAACTAAGCGGATAAATTAACAGCAAAGTTCTCAAAGAAAATAATATTAAAGAAATTACTTTTTTTGCTGGAATGTCTATGTTGGATTGTTTTGGGATTCCATAAGAGCAGGGGTCCCCAAACTTTTTCCTGTGAGGGCCACATAACTTTTCCCTTCTCTGGTGGGGGCCAGAGTCAGTTTGTAACAGAAAAAGTGTGACGATTGCAGGAGTACCTAAATGTAAAAATGTATTGTTTTCCAGAAAAGCACAATCAAATAACCCTCTCTGGGTTCTTCACAGAACAAAAGTCAGGAAATAAATAATAACACTATTAATTAAATAAATAATAACCAAATAACCCTCTCTGGGTTCTTCACATAAAATCCAGGAAGGATTATAGTCCGTATTTTTCGAACTATGACCCACACCGGACTATAAACCCCAAAGTTTTTTTTTAAACCAGTAAACACACACATATAAGCCGCATATATCTCTGCCGCTCAGGTTTTCCACAGCGATGCAGCAGCAGAGGGGGGCGGACACCCAAAATCTGAGTCATAACAGGTCGATTAAATATCACATTTATTAGGGTTGAAAAAGAAAAAGTTGCCAAGTTTAGATTTAACTGAACTGATTACGGTAGTTTCCGAACTGTAACTGTAACAGTAAAAGTGCTGATCCTTCCTGTCTGCTACTAGCATGTGCTAAATGAAAATGGGCGTCTTCTTCTTCTTCTTCGTGTGAGAGGAGGGTGTGTGCGGAAGAGCGGGAGAAGAGTGAAAGAGCGAACGATTGTGTATCTTTTCTATCTTTTTTTCTTACTGTTTATTCACTGGGTGTTTGTGTTACTTGTTTAATTGTAATTTTGTGTTAGTTTGT